GTAGCAATTTCTTGGCCGCGACACATGAGACCAAGGAGTCCTCAACCTTTCCGATATTTCGATGTATTTCGTCGCACGACCCATTTAGACAGCGCTGTCCAAACAACCTAGCGGTTTACACTAGGGGGCCGCCTGACAGCTGAAAAATCCCCTATCATCCACTCATAGCGTGTGGCGTTTTGTACCTTTATTTTACTTCCATTATAACACTACGTATTTCATCAATTGCATAATCGTTTTTTGTTTGAATACGAAAAACTACAAAAACGCGCACTTGTACAATTTCACAGAATACAAACGTGGTCACGTGCTTCGACTCTCTCCTGATTTCGCTTGCGCTTCCAGCGGCCAATTCGCGAGTCTCATGTACTTACTCTGGTACCAAAACATTTCAGACGTCTTCGGAATCTAGTATATGTGAGAACTGTTCAGAAGAAGACGTCTGGACCAACATAATTGGATTATTGTTTATTCGCTGACCTGGGCCAACGACGAACTATTTTAAAGGGAACAATTGTTAGTGAGTCTGTTCTGGTCTGTCTCTTTATTTTTGTGTACCCAACCTAGCGTAATTATTTTTATTTCTTTGCCACACACTCCTGGTAATCTTACTTATTGGCCAGACCACTCCTGGTAATCTTACTTATTGGGTAGCCAGACCACTACATTGGTCAGTTGCTCTTGCAAACCGCCACTGTCACCAAGCGCAGGCTGTACACCTTCGACGAAACCGCTGGACAGAAACTGGTGGAGCGATACTTCATCCCCTCCTGATGAAGTTCGATCCAATGACTGCTGCGGGCTGACTAAGAAAACGGTCGGGGCACATTCAGGTGTCATTCTGGCTGATTTGAACCACCTTATAGCCTCCTGGCGTTCGGCCTGTGTATGTCAAATCCGCTGTATGAGCTTCCTTCGCGGTGATCCAGTCCATCTTCAGAGGTCCCCTTCCAGGTTCATCCCGGGCTTCTTCGCCCGGCCTCTGAGGAGGGCCTTCAGCGCTGTCAAACTACCTCCGTCAATCACCAGTTCGGCAGCTCTCACCACCTGCTCCAAGTCCTCCAGGAAGGTCAAAACATCCCCATCCTCAAAGAGTCGTGGATCTTTGTCGACATCCTGGTCACCACAACAAATGAAAGTAGGAAAGCCTTTCGTCGCGGATTTGTTTAATGGAAACACGCCGTGAGCTAGACGCACGTCGAAAATTTCTCTGAAACCGTGGTTCGAAGGAGGAAAACTTTAACATAAAGTTTTAGCATTTGATGGTAATTTTTCGGGCGTATGAGATCTTCCCAAACGGCCGCAGTCTTGTTGAAGGTTGTTTAAATCTACTCAATCCACACGATATTCAAGACCCGGGATATCATATTCTAAATGGCTGTTATGGCTGAGCACGTGAATGCGGAGGGTGATTTTGTGGAGAGTTTAGCTCGTCAAAGTTTTTTCTCATTCAATGCATTTCAAGTCGCTTTGAAAGAGTACCAGACGGAACATTTCGTCCGTATAGACTCCATAAAGAGCAGCAATTCGCTACTCTTGCATGAAAAAGCCTCCTACCGTTGCAGCAGACATCCCTGCAGACGAAGCAGGAGCCGTGGAATTCGTCGCAGCTAGTAAGTTAATGGTTGACTGTGTATATGTTGTAGAACACGTCGTACTGATTGGCCGGCAATGTTCCACGTTCGCCGGTATCATGACTGCTTGAGGGTTACTTCCTACTACTTGGAGCACAACCATCCACGCAGCAAGTTTATTTTTGACAGGCTCCCCATCAACCGGCGACTGACAAATGATGAATTAAAGGAGTGTTCTACCCTTTTGAAATACGGTGCTCCGTCATCGGAGATTCGGCAGTACGTCGCCGACCACTTTGGAAAGGTACTCACTATCAAGGATGTGCGTAACTATCGCGTCAAGTGTCGACCCCCATTGTTAAGTAGGTCGTTGGTTACCTTTTAGTTGGTTTCTTAGATGACATGTCGTCCATCATAGCCAAGTTTCGAGAGTGCGGTCGCGTGCTGCTGGTGGAATCGGAGGGTGGCAGATATAGTCACCTGTGCTTTTCTCGAACGCAGCAGATAGCACTCTTTAGACGTTTCCCGGACGTTGTAAACGTTGATGCTACACACGGTACTAACCGTCTTGGGTAAATAAATTTCGAGCCACTGACGTTCGCTGTTAAGTTACAAGCTTTATACATTCCTTGTGACATGGCATGGGGATCGGTCGACCCGTAATGTATGCCTTTGTCGAAAGCGAGCATTTTGCGCCATTGCGCAAGCTGTTCAGCTTGTTCAAGGATATGATGGGTGGACAATATGCAGTCAAAACGTTCGTCATGGACAAAATGACTTCACAGATGCGGGCTGCCAAAGCTGTATTTGGCTGCGACGTAATGCTGTGCTATTTTCACGCACGGCAAGCCATCCGGAAGCACGTATGTTTCATAGCTTTGGTGTAACTTTTGCAGACAATTTCCAACCACAGTCGACACATATTCCACCGCATGGCCCGCTTTGATAATGCAGCTGAGTAAGTGACTGTGCACCAAACACTAATCCCGTAGATTTCGCCACGATTTGCAAATCTTGAGGCGAACAGATCCTAGTTTTGTCTCTTATTTGACTGCCCACTGGCTCCATATCACTCGAAAGTGGGCCATTCATGCACAACGTGGGTTGGTACATTTTGGGAATGTGACCAACAACCGCCTGGAGAACGCCAACGGGCGTTTGAAGAGGCGCGTGCATCACTCAGATAGCCTAGAGCATGCCGTTCTGAAGGTCGCTCATCACAGCGAATGGCTAATGCGGGAATATGAAATGCACACCACTTATTGTTGTGACCGTCGAGAAATTCGGGAGGGAGATATCTACGTTCTACGTGTGGTTTCCCGGATGACGACATACGCCGCTAATCAGGTTCTCAGGCACATTGGAATATGCACGCCAAATCTGCTATACAAGCAGACAGATCGCTTCAAGGTGAGAAGCCCGTTGTTAGTAACAGTCAGTTTGTGGTACAAACCCCCAAATGTTCTCAGACAGTAAACACCTCGGCCGGAACCTGCACGTGCATATTTTACCAATCAATGTGGCTGCCTTGTGTACACCTATTTTCAGTATTCAGAGGCCACTCGTTCCCATGCGGTAAGTTGATTGATCGAACATGCAGTGTCTAGGTCAATTTCCAATCCATCAAAGGTGGCTTGCCGAATATAACCTACCGGAGGAAGGAGTACCTTTATCTCTGGTTCCAAAGCCAGATCCATCACCAATAGAGCATTTGCACAAGCAGCTTGATCGGTTGGTTGGCAAACTGAAGCTGCTGGATCCGCGTAAGGCTGCTGGGTGCATGAAGCGTCTGATTGTCCAAAGCCAGCTGATGTTGCGTCAAAATGCAATTAGTGCACAGGACAACAGCCTCTGGTGTTAGATGGCAACCGCAAACAACCACTGTGGCGCTCGACGTCAAACGACGCTGTTCCATGTGGTCTCTGTGGCCAGCCAACTGACCCTGCTGATTGGTGGTGTCAACGTGATCGAGTTCCATATCACCGTTATTGCTGCGGCAATGAGCCCTGTCCGCTGTGTGGAAAAAATCTTCAGGCGCCCAAGTCAAGTGAGAGCACATGTATAAATAAACTATTCCTATTAGTTGCCGATCAGTCTACCTTCCGGTCAGCTAAAAGAGCTTGCTGTTGATTTTCTCAATTTCGGCGTGTCAATAGCCTCCGGCTGGAAACACCAACTGAACATTTACAGACTACTGAATATCCGTTTCTTCTTGGGGGTGTCTTCTTTAACCTTCCTGGACACCAAAAATTGTAAACAAATGCAGCGACGCAGTTCCACAAATTTCGTAACAAACCCCAAATTCCACTATATCAAAACTCAGTTACGAGAAAACCACCCACTACTCGGATGCCCCATCAGTAGCGTCGAAAGGTACGCTGGTGGTCGGAACACACAGAGCAACCCTGAGGTCGGGGAAGCCAGCCCAGAGGGGGGCAGGGAATTACAAAAGCCCGCCTATATGCTCATTCTTCAATGCTTCCAACTAAATTGCTGACGGGATGGGCGGGTGCTGCATTTTATTTCATGCTGCGGGCTGGATGGATAACATTTATCAGGTGTTTCTGATAGTTTCAGCAAAGGCCCATCTTTCATTTATGTGTTGCACCTGCACGCAAAACGTTCGGATCAGGTGGAACGATAGCTTAGTTAAGCCAAAAGTTGTCAAACAGAACCGATTTCAGAAGCCTCGCAGAGGAACCTTGTGCGATCCGCTAACGTAGCGCTGACAACGAACAAGTGAAAGATGGTAATGCAAACAAGAACGTGAGAGGCGGAGATCGCTAGCAAATTATATAGTGCACCGCATGAGAGGTTTAGCTGCTCTTCACCGTATAATACAACACCAGGTCAAAGCTACCGGAGGGACTACATCCAGTTTTGATAGGGGAACCCACGTATAGCCTGGATCTAACATATTTCCCCCTAGACATGCTCAGGCAATTGAGGAAACGATAATTTGAAGGTTGCCATTTCAAAAAACAGCGATTAAGGACACTTGGCGGCCACAGCCCATGTGTCTAGTATTGGTGGCCATTAGAACATTTGAAGGAGTAGTCAACACGACCCCAGACGCATATCCATATTCTCCGGGCTTGTCCAACACAGGTCAAGATGGATTAGTTTATGGGCGATCTAACGCCACAACCCAGCTGACAAAGCCGGAAACCTAGTGCGGGGCGAAGCAACATCGTTAGGCAATTTTCACCCAACAACAGGCGCTGCGAGCTCCCGGCGGAGTATTGGGAGAGACCGTGCAAGGTCTGCTAATTTTTCCATCCCAAATCAATCAATCACGGATCATCAGCTTGTCATTCGCAGGCAATTCAGGCTGCGAAGTATAGTGGAAGGAAGGCATGATGAACGAGAGTCAAAGCCGTGGTATCAATAAAGCCACCGCAAGGTCACAAGACCATTTCGTAAGCCGACAGTTTGAAACTTTTTGTGGTTTCCGGACGGGATGCATGAAGATATATTCACCGATGATGTTTGCGGGCAGCAATCCGACTGGTAAATGGAAGAACTGTTTTTCAGATCTTTAAGGAATATAATCGAAAAACTGTATCAGTTGCAGCATGAAAAGGATAGTCTGAAGGAAGAAAACATGAAGCTTCAAGGACAGCTAGATTCAGCGGAAGAAACAATCAAAGATTGCTACAGCCGCCTAATTACTCTAACTAACGAAGTTAATAGGTATGTTTTACTGTCTCTCAATATTGATTTCGTGCAGTAAGGTCGGTCAAGATTATTTTACTAATTATAAATCCTTCTACGAAAGTGTTGGGAGCGGTTGATGCGATTACCACAACCTCGTAAGCAATCTTTCGTTGTTTCGTCTCATACAAATCGGAACCGCACGATAAATACCTCATTTGCGACTGTATAGTTATATATAGACGCTGGATGGTGCTTTAGGTATCACTGGTTTGTCGACAAAACTCAACGCGTGCATATAGAAACTGTGTAATTCACCGGCATTTGTACAATACAACCATGACATCTTGGGGAAACACATATTGTAACCAAAACAAACACCTCAAAAACAATTGCAGTGCACATAAACCAACATAAGTGGACATATTCGTTCAGGGAGCATCTCAAAGGTCTAAGAAACGGAAAATCAAATGGTTGTGCTAATAGTGATATTCGTTGAGAGAAGTGTTTAGTACACTCCACGCGACGCAAGCAGCAACCTTCGAGGCCTTCGACCAGGAGAGGGAATGCTGACCAAGCATTAATATGTGTACACTGGTATTTGTAAACAAAGGTTTCCGAAGGAGAACATGGTTAACAGTGAACATGAATTGTCAAATGCAACATTCTACTGATTAGCGAAAGATGAAGAGTACGAAGCCAAAGGCAACGCAATAAACGCACGTCCTAACGCATTAGTGTATTATTTGTCCGCTTGGTTGGCGAAAACTTACTACATTATTCAGCCTGTTACCTCGCAAATGCAAACATTGCAGACTTGATTTTGTGTCGATTTGTTTCTGCATGATTATAGGAATGCTTTCAATGACGGCATTTATATATTTCACGTGACCTATGTGGCCTCACTCTGCCAGCACACTCCAAGCGTGTACTGCAACAATGAATGTCATGTATGTAATGCATTGGTGCATTACTTCTTCGCTTGGCTTGCCAAAAACTGTCGCGTTACTAAACCTAATATCTTGGAGACGCAAACATTGCACAGTAAAATTTCTGTCAGTTTCTTTCCATCACGATTGAATCCGTGATTTTAGTTACGGCATTATTACACTTTGTGGCCCGTGAGAAATTTATGAACAACTCCGCAGGACTTTTAGTCCATGTGACCGTCATTCGTCTATGCGCAGCGCTATAGTTTTCTTGTTTGTTACGGTTACACTCCGTACTTTCCAACGGTATAACATAATTTACTACGTAATCTCTGGCGACTTACGCGGCTGACAGATGCCCAGTGTATTCATATTAAGTACAATAATTGCACCCGCAACTGAAGCCGGGAAGGTACTCCGCCAGCAAATTCATATACATACTGCCGACAATTTCCGCACACACTACTGGCTTGTGTTTGATGGCCACCTAGTTCGGTAGGCGTAGCGCAAAATAGCTGACAGTTAGAATGCTGGTATAACTTTTTTAATGATGTAACTTTCGGTTTCGAAATTAATGCGATGCTAATGTTGACAACATAAATCCGGGATACCTGAAACGCAGCTCAGCTACCATATAAAACCATAAAGTCGTAAGAGAGGTTTTTATTATGCGCGTACAATTTCTATGATAGATAATAAGGGGAAATTTTTTTCACTGGTGTTATGTTCGTCGGCTACCGTACATCAGCGAAACACTTGGTTATATTTTCTTTCCAACTTCTTATGCGAAACCACCATCCATCCTGTAATTAAATTAAACACGAATAATAAATGAGGCAATGTTGGTGAGATACTTGCGAACTTCAATCTCGCACGGAGGCGGATGTCAAAGCAGAGAATGCGGCATTTAAGCATTAGCCGGATGGCCTCCAGTTCCTCAGGCAGCAGTCAACGGTTTCGATTGAACCACCGAGATGCTTCGGCACTAAGGGGCATGTGAAGTACTCCTTGCACTGCGTGTGGTCGAGCAGTTGGCGTCGTTTTTCGTGGTTAGAACGATATGAAAATCCTTTTCCGTGGCACTGGTACTTGATGAACGTTTTACCACCGGAGGAATTTGATTTCGACTTTCGCACGCTGTAGTTCGATCCTGAAAATCCACTAAACTGCTTAACTCAGTGCACAAGTTCGTGAACATTGCAAAATGGTTAGCTGCTTAAGCCTTCCCCGAACAGGGTAGCAACGTTGACTGCGTACCCTTCAGCGGAGACTGGCGGCCATTACGGATGAGGCTCACAGACATGCACGGACACTTATCTAGGTCAGATTCACCAACGGAAATGTGTAAGCAGCCCATACATTTGATGAAATGTTACTACTGACAGCGTGTTTAGTAGTGTAAATTGAACGAGAAAAAACACTTTTGGAATTTTGGACATGAGAATTCAAAAGGGTGTGGTAATGGGGACATTCATTCTTGACTGCTAAAATATTTTTATGTGCAGTTGATATACGGGTGTGGCCCATTACATGGATGTAAACCCTGATCGGCTTGACCCATTCTCCTAAAAATTATTATGAATATCTCTTCCTGCCCTATATGACACCAAAGCCAGTGTAAAGGTCACGATTGTGGCCATATAAACCTGTGCGGTTTTGACAGTGCCACCAGTGTCATGTGCGACAGATATTCTCATGGAATCCCATTAAAACTCCCAAATTCTGGCACTGTGGACAGCAGTTAAGATATCTACCAAAATTTCCGTGAACTAGTGCACCATGTACGCTTGCATGAACATGATGCATAGAGCAACGCGGAGTTCTGTCACTTTCATTACTGGAGGCTTTTACCGTAGCAGCCGAAAGGAGTGTTTTCAAGAATTTTTTTAAAAGTCGTCCATTTTAATAAACTCATTTTTGGAAAGAAGCTACCTACTCACTCACTTTAGGATTTTTGGTCATCAGTATAACCGTCTGTAAAGATCTATTTTAGTTTATGTGGTTTTATTTATTATCTTACGTTGGTGCTAGCGATAATCCAAGGAAGCTATGAATAATAGCGAGTTGCACCGCAACAAGAGTAATTGATTGGTAGTAAACAACTGTTTTTTCATGTTTCTCATGTATTTGCTTATGCTGGTCTCCACGATGGACAGCAGGCAAAAACAACGAGTCTCGAGGACGTGTCCGAAAAAGAAACACAAAAGTGGACATGGGTGAAAGTTGGGAAAACAGTAAAAACAAACAGATCTTCTAAAAAACAGGGTTTGCTGGGTAAAAACGCCGCCTTTGGTAAAGTTACAATCCCAAGACATACTGTGCAACGGGGACTTCCATCAATGCATGCGACCAGCACCGACAGCTGTAGCCATTCGGCCATGTATTGCGCACGCCGAGTAAAGTGTTGGTTTCTGTGCCCGAATCGAGTGGCAAAAGCAGAGAGGTGGCCAACTCTTGAACTTGTAGATTTTCATGAAAGGTAGTATGAAAATTCTGGATGACGTCGTTGTGAATCGCCTACTAGAATGGAGACGGCGTCACCCTAACCCCACTTTGGAGAAGAAGCAAGATATAGCTGCTAAATGATGGCAACGGCGTTTTCACTGTCAGCCTTCCTCTAAATTGGCCAGCTGAGTGTCTGGAAGTGTAGGCACTCTGAAATAACCGTGGCAGGCTGGCACTACGACCCTTCCCTGCTCATTATTTTATTATTTTCTTTACGATAAAACATATATACATGAAGTATGATTGCACTACTACTACTACTCTAAAACGGTGCAATTTTTTGGTATAATTGCTTTCAAAAAACTTTAGAATGTAAAACACTTCCAGGAAACCGAAACTATGCAGGCCAAACCAAAACATTAGAATACAGGGCTCAAACATTCCCAGTGGCGAAGATTCATTCGAAATCGCATGAAAGAAAGTGCCATTCCGATTGTCAGGTGATGTAGGTGATAAACTTCTAGGATACCTTCGAAATATATGCCTCATAACAATTGCTTGCTATAGCTCCAGACGGTCATTTTAGCCTTAACCATTTATAAAACGACATAAAAGACCAGAACACAGCAACGGCTAGTGTGATGATATTATTTCTAGGAACTTTTCTTAAGTAGCTAAATCCCATCTTTCAAACCGATGCACCAAACGCCGATCTAATGAATCTGAAGACAATTTAACAAAAGTATACCGCATATAAAAGACATTTCCCGACCATTCCTGAATAAAACTTCTAAACGCCTGATCAACCAAACGAAATTAAGCTGCGAGCCAAAGTGATTTTGATTCTTCAAAATAGGGACTACAGAAAATCAAAATTTTTGAATTTTAATCAAAGTTCATTCCAACATGGTACGGGAGAATTTACGGAGGTGTGTACGATTTCGACCAATGATGTCAGTTAAAAAACGTAAATGAGGCGATCTATTCCATACTGACGTAAAGGTGGTTCTTCCCCCCAAAGGGAATATTAGTCATTGAATTATAGTATCCGTGAAGGTGTTATGTCTTTCTTTCCTTTATTCTTTGAGTGACCAGATTACTATGGTAAACACCATGGCTATACTCAGATCGAATGAATAATTAATAAAAATCAAGCGTGCAGTGAAAGAATAAAACTTTATATTGAGCATTTCGTCCTGATGAATAGTGGTAAAATGTTCACAAAATTAGGCAGGTTTTAGTGTATTTTAGACCATTTTAGAAAAATGGTCATTTTGAAAACTATAGTAAGAATTCCACCGTCAGGCTCTTTAAAAAACCACTGCGTTTTCACACTGCCGCTTGCAAAGTATTAGATAGCTGTTCAGATGTAGAACCATTATGGTGTAAGCTGTTGTGCCATTCAAACAGGGCATAAAAGCTGGGATGCGACTATGTTGTCCAAGTCCCTGTGGCAGCGATCCAGGACTCAACTTTCAGTTTGTAAAATGAATCTTCCGGTCAATATTTTCATGCTTTAGCCGCCAATCATCGTACGTTTTCCAAGGTAACTCTGTATGCTCCGGAAATATGGACTTAGTTATGACTAATAATCCCAAACAGAATAGGCGGTGGAATTAGTTTTATTTCAACGCTAAAATGGAGCTCAAAGTGTGTAAAAAAGAATTCCACATGTGGCGCCTATTAAGCTCTTTTTTGTTGATGCTGGTGTTTCGTTTGGATGAAGGCAAATGTGTTCATGCTAGTAGCGTCGTTTTTAACACAATATTTGTTTCTCTCCCCGCCTTCTTACTCTTTGGATAATTAAGACAGCTGTAACCAGTGTAATTCCAAGAAAAGATTACATCACTCTCGGCGCACTGTCCCTGACATATTTTTATGTCTCCAAACGTTGCATTATCATGGGCAGCAATGTTTACTGCACGAATATATTTGCAACAATGGTCTATGCAACAATTCCCCCAATTTTACATCCAATACGAGACACATCTCATCGTTTCAGGTTTCGTGGCAACGTCCACAAAGATGCTGACAGTTGGAGCATGACACTTTGGTAGAGATGCAGTCACGGAGGAGTTATTGGAAATTGAACGAGACGTAAAAATTTCTCTGAAAGCAACAATTGGGACAAAATGCCTTTTTTTCCTAATAATAGTGTTTGAGCACTGTAGGCAGTCTGCAGGCTCACGGTTGATTTGTCGCAAATATATTCGTGTTTATAGATGCTCTGGTGACAAAGAGCTTAGGGACGCAATGATGAAACTCTTTTATAACAAACATGTATTAACATCAGAAATGAAAAATAGTTGATATGAATGATTAGGACATATTTGTGGGGGTCGCGTTAACTTCGTGTCACCCGATTTGAGGCGAACAAATAATTCATGAATAAGTATTAAAGTCCCTCCAATAGAAGCCAGGAATATTGCTGCTGGGAATTTGAATGCGCGTCTTCCCAAATTCGCCTCACAGTATGACGGAGAGTTGGTAAAAACGAAAAGATTCCCTGGTGTTGTAACTTTTTAAGGATTAGGTTCCAGAAGATCACGCACTATAAAAACCAGTAGGATTAATCAAAAGGTTTGTTGTATAACCTACCGTCTTAAAAGTTCTAGTTGATGGGCATCAAATATAAATTCTTCTAGGCTCTTTTTTTTCTCGGTGAACAACCATAGCTTTACTGCACAACGAAAGACAATCACGGTGTATGTTTTTTGTGATCCAGATAATGCGAAACCAGGTTAGTCCAGGGGCACTTGTATTTAATCGGTCTGCAGGCCTAAAATTTTGTTACGTTTCACTGAAATTCGCCTTTGGTTTTGTGGTTTTCCAACTCGATGTTGTTCATTTCCTTTTACTGGAATGAAAATGTCCAGGCCTTACAACATGTAGCCCACTTAAACTGTTAGTAAAATGTAAAAGTAAAAGTAATATTTTCTAAAAGATCATTTATACAATATATGTTATGTGGATCCTGACAAAAACAGACAATACCATAACTGAGGCAACTGAGGCAACTGATCAGTAGATCCAGTGGTTCGTTCCATGCAACATTACCTTTTTCTTTCTTACCCCTGTGCTACAAAAGTGCTACAAAAGTTCTGGAGATTTATCTAGTGGTAAGCTGAATGGTGATGACCACTGCCCCAAATCCACTGGTATGGCTGCACACTAAAAATAGTTCTTTTGACACTTGTTAGAACTTACCTCTATATTTCCCTCACACTGACTGATTTCCTTCGTATTAGCGGAGCAGTAAGTGGTATTTGGTTCGTACGAGTTTATTTGTATCCGTTCTACTACTATCGGATTTCGTAAGTAGTGAAAACCCCACCGAAACCATTTATGAGTATTTTTGCTCCAGCATTGACCTCAACGCTATCATCATTTGACGAGGTCAGAGCAGTTTGAAAAACCTGAAAAACATTGTATGATCCCTTTGCTTTTGTTAGAAGCCCTCATCAATGTATTCATTCTAGACCAGCTTTGTCAGGTTGTCTTTGCATTTAAATGCGTATTATTATCGGCACAACAGTAACCATGTGCAGGTGAAAATGTTGAAGGAGTGGAAACATCACCGAGAAACCTCTATCGTTGATACATGTAACTTCATATCCAGGGGTTTGCCGCTTGCCCTTACTGAAAAGGACGTATCCATCAGGTACTAATTTATCAGTGCTTATTTGTCACCGTTTAAATGATGTGATGGGACTTGAGGAAAATATGCACACAGGTACTTTGTAAGATCAAAATTAGGCTTATTTATTTTGCAAGCTTGGTGTTTAAGCTCACATCATGGCTCCTCGAACGACACTCCTCAAAAGCTACGCCCGGCGCAAAACAGCACTATAAAAACCAGTAGGATTAACCAAAAGGTTTGTTGTATAACCTACCGTCTTAAAAGTTCTAGTTGATGGGCATCAAATATAAATTCTTCTAGGCTCTTTTTTTTCTCGGTGAACAACCATAGCTTTACTGCACAACGAAAGACAATCACGGTGTATGTTTTTTGTGATCCAGATAATGCGAAACCAGGTTAGTCCAGGGGCACTTGTATTTAATCGGTCTGCAGGCCTAAAATTTTGTTACGTTTCACTGAAATTCGCCTTTGGTTTTGTGGTTTTCCAACTCGATGTTGTTCATTTCCTTTTACTGGAATGAAAATGTCCAGGCCTTACAACATGTAGCCCACTTAAACTGTTAGTAAAATGTAAAAGTAAAAGTAATATTTTCTAAAAGATCATTTATACAATATATGTTATGTGGATCCTGACAAAAACAGACAATACCATAACTGAGGCAACTGAGGCAACTGATCAGTAGATCCAGTGGTTCGTTCCATGCAACATTACCTTTTTCTTTCTTACCCCTGTGCTACAAAAGTGCTACAAAAGTTCTGGAGATTTATCTAGTGGTAAGCTGAATGGTGATGACCACTGCCCCAAATCCACTGGTATGGCTGCACACTAAAAATAGTTCTTTTGACACTTGTTAGAACTTACCTCTATATTTCCCTCACACTGACTGATTTCCTTCGTATTAGCGGAGCAGTAAGTGGTATTTGGTTCGTACGAGTTTATTTGTATCCGTTCTACTACTATCGGATTTCGTAAGTAGTGAAAACCCCACCGAAACCATTTATGAGTATTTTTGCTCCAGCATTGACCTCAACGCTATCATCATTTGACGAGGTCAGAGCAGTTTGAAAAACCTGAAAAACATTGTATGATCCCTTTGCTTTTGTTAGAAGCCCTCATCAATGTATTCATTCTAGACCAGCTTTGTCAGGTTGTCTTTGCATTTAAATGCGTATTATTATCGGCACAACAGTAACCATGTGCAGGTGAAAATGTTGAAGGAGTGGAAACATCACCGAGAAACCTCTATCGTTGATACATGTAACTTCATATCCAGGGGTTTGCCGCTTGCCCTTACTGAAAAGGACGTATCCATCAGGTACTAATTTATCAGTGCTTATTTGTCACCGTTTAAATGATGTGATGGGACTTGAGGAAAATATGCACACAGGTACTTTGTAAGATCAAAATTAGGCTTATTTATTTTGCAAGCTTGGTGTTTAAGCTCACATCATGGCTCCTCGAACGACACTCCTCAAAAGCTACGCCCGGCGCAAAACAACATGAAGGGTGGAAGAGAGCCAGAGGCGATCAAGCGATGAGTTGGCAGCGAAGTGTGAAAGCCATTACCAGCAAACTCAGCTGCGCTGGTTATTGCCGTCTTCCTGGGTGGGGACCCCGATACGGGCCATACCCGCCCATGGTTGTAGACATTGTCAGACATGGCTCAGTGGCACCTTCAATGGCGCTCATGCATCCAAGCTATTGCCTTCAATGCATAGCTCCCTTCCCACTCCCCACTTAACAGTCCATCTAGAGTGCAGTATTTACGCACTAATTTATCAGCTCCCGCATCCAATGTGCAGCTACCTACCCCACCTTCCTGAATCATTGATGAACGAAACTGTTGCACATACAACCGCTGTACGACAAGTACGCGTTTATTACAGCTGATAGTGATGATGATGACGCGGACGCATTGTTTGCTCATCTTGGTGACAGTGTGAGACACCAAATCACAGGTCTTCAGCAAGAACACTGTTGAGCATGGTAACAAGCACACCTCGTTTCCTCATCCTTTTGGATTATACAAATAAGTACGTGATCATGAATTATTAATCAATTCTTCTTATTTCATCAGTGAACATCAAACTCAGAATGCTCTTACTTGATTCTCCACAGTTTTTCCGAGGCAGTAATGGAGCGTAACAACCTGCTGGAACAATTGGATGAGAGTCATTCCCAATATGTAGCATTGAAGGAGTTGCATGAAAAACAGATTCATCACTCTCATCTTTGCGAAACCGAGCTGCAGCGGGCACGAGAAAACAACCTTGGATTATTAGAAAAGGTAAGATGTCTGTGTAGCGACGTAAGTTCTTCTCTTGAAGATCGATGCAACCAATTCCGACTCAGTGAAACCCCTCAGCACCGGAAAGCTCTGCTTGATTATCTATCCGAAATTCAGTTGCACCTTTGTTGCAGTGGCACGGTATATTATCGATCTTCAGTGCTCGGTTGGCATTCTTCGACACAGTCGTATTCGACAGCATGACATCAGTGTTCAACAGTGATGTTTCGCTGCCATGCGATGTGGCATTAGAGTATTATTAGTTGTAAGTGTCATAGTTGTACGTGGGCTGGGATACTTCCAGGGCGCCCATACCTAGACGGGGGATGATTAGGGTCTTCAGTCAAAGCCTTTGGCCAGAAAGTCTGATCCCCTAGGCAGCGGTGTTAGGCGAGGAATGCAAGTGGGATCCAGTTTTTCCGGAATATTTCGCCACACATTTTTCAACTTTTACCTGGAGACTGTTCGTTTAACCTCTAACCACTGACTAACCTGGTGTGAGAAACTGTGAATGTCGCGCGGACACCCCCCAGTATAGCTCATTGAGTAACCGAGACGTGCAAACCGTTGCACCGCGGAAGCTCCAATCTCTTCGTAACAGATGGGCATTCTTATATATTTACCAAACCTAAACTAAGTGAACTTTTAGATTACACAAAGAACTATCTGACAGTAATTGAGAGGTGATGATATCAGTCATTCGATGCTGATAACTTGACAAACAGCAAACTGACGTCAAAGAGATGGTCTAATTAGGCACAACTGCATATAAATAGTCGTGGAACGTAGTGTATCCGCAAAGGCACGAACCCTTCTATTCTGACAAGGATGTTTTTCATTCCTTAACGTTCCTCACCCGGAAGGAGTCACCTTGTAGATGAGACCAATTGTTGCGCGTCATTTTATTTTGTTCCCCCAGAGACGAAACAGCGTGTCTTCTGTTAGAGACCTACTTTGCGATTGATGTAAGCAGAAGTGCGCAGTTAGTACCGTCGCTTTTTTTACCGGCACTCTGAAGAAGCCAATAGTCTCCATGTCTTCCGTTAGGATGCTCGGTGGAATCTAAAGTAACTGGCTATTAACCCATTTAGGCATTCTGTCGGTGACAAAGTTTAATCGTCATTTGGGACAGTGCAAAAGTACATCCCGCGTACAGGGGTCTGATAAAACACTGCGATATATATATATATATATATATATATTTGTCTAAAATATATGGCCTGGTTAATCAGGAGAGACTTTCAGAATGTGAGCCTAATAAATCAGATATGCGGAACATTTAAGTGATCAGTGAGATGACTACAAACATTGAAAAAGTGTTTCTATTGAGGACAGCAATTCTCCGTTGAACCTGTCCAGATGTTTGCATTTGGGATTCATCTGCACGCTCATTAAATTTCGTGGACAGGCTTCAGTCAAGCTGGTGTTTGGGAAATCAGTGGCGCTGCCCACAGGTGATAGAGGAAGGTAGATTGGAACTAGCCGGCACCCCGCTGACACTTTTGCCCCATTTAAACTACTCTGCAAATTTATGGATAAATCTCTATTAACACACTGTAGAAATCATTCCCATATCAAACAATAATGGAGAATTTAAATGGGATTTGGTAGAAATTCTTGTTAAGATTGTCCTCCAAAAGGGCATGGAGCTTCGTTCAACTGTAGCACCCATTTGGTGCCCAACTGTCATGCCGCCAGAAGGAAGCACGAGGGCTGGGATAATGCCAGGTTGCCAAAGCTTAGACAGAAGAGGTCGAGAGGCTTAGGTTGGGTTTGAACTACCGGTTAGTAAATTCGCGCCCTAACCACTGAGTTTAATAACTGTCCAACCGTTTCCCCAGTATGGTATTCACCAAGCAGTGTGTAAATGTAGCAAATGCTGAGTGTGGTGTTCTTACTCAAAAATATCGTTTTACTGAAGCTTCAGTGGCCGTACTTGCCTGATCACCCGTAAAAAGAACCGAAGATGTAGCTGAAAGTCAACGACCCCATCAAATCCTGTCGTTCTACAAATGGATTTGGTACCTAGGCTTGATAGTGCAAAAATAGTTGGCAGCGGACACTCGAAACTACTGAACACACGAAATCCAGGATGTCAAATCGTTCACCGTAGGTTCAAACAGATAATGACTATTCTTTGAGGACATTCGTCCTGCCTCCGGCCAGCAGGGGTGACTGTGGTTCCAACCAAAGTTAGTTTGATAGCTATACTGACATGCCCAACCAACATGCCAAGTCGCTGCTAAATAATTAACCACGGACATCTGCGTTGGTCTAATGGGCACAGAATAGAGACCACGGTCGTAAGAGGTCAGGCGGTGGGAGGGAGAAAAACTTGCCTTTAAGTGCAAGAGTGCAATTAACAAGCTCATTGTAATGCCAGTTAGAAGGTCTTCAGGCAACAGTGTCGAGTAAACACGATAACTTCTCTCTCCTCCATTTCGACAGATAACTGCGCTAGAAAAAACGCTACTGGACAAATCCTCTCAGTTGTCAGAGCTCGTTGATGTGATACATGATTATGAGGTAACAGAGAGGTCTACCAGATCTGTTATTATGTACTCATGTGCAGAATGTGCTTGATCAAAGGCAAAATGTTATCCAAACGAGGGATAATGAGATCACTAAGGTAAGTCTGCTAAAAACGCATTGAAGCGTACTTGTTGGATGTAGCTCAACCAAGAGGCCATGAAATTGCGATCACAGCTGAGGGACTGGGAGGAACACTGGGAGGTAAAATGGACGAAATCAAACCTACTCACCCAAAACCTTTCAGATCATTCAACAAAATACATCGAACACTAATCCAGGAGATAATGCTCACAACCTTTTGAAAGGAGCATGCATGTAAGTGTTGTCGTTTTGTCGAGCACATATAAGTGATGATCGATATCTGTGTGTTAATCGGTCAAGCCATGTAACGAATATTATATAGGCCGATAAAAAAGCGCATATTGCTGCATAACGTAATGAGAATATAATATATATAGTAAATTATTACTCTCATACATTCGGATGACTGAGCTTTGCATAGAAATGTGTTAACCTGAGGAGCGGGGGATGTTTGCGTTGTTGCACAGTCGCTCATCATATAGCTCAGTTTGAGTGCGGTCAAACTCTTCAAGGAAAACTATGGTTGCTTTCGAACTCATTTGCATGATTAACTTACTGTAACTTCAGTTTTAAATCTGTCTTCGCATGGCACTAACATATGGTCAATCTTTCGTATAGTTTACGAAAACAAGTCATTTTGAGGTTGCACTGTGATGAAATCCAATGGGGTTTCTTTCTTTCGACAAAGCAAGTAGGATACGCAGTAAGACGACTGTATAGACGTGATATACTACACATAAGGTTGTTCAAGAACATTATAAAGGAAAGATTTAGGTGGGTTCTAGACGTGTCTCCCGTGAAAATTAAATTGACATGCAAGTGAATACATTTGTCGAAATCCGTTCAATTTGGATTCAAAAACATAAGATTAACGGAAATTCTGGAACCACCCTTACCTGGTGAGCCCCAAGAAAGGTGAAACCGGTCGTGGATTGTCAAAAAGTTTTCAGAAAACTTATGAGCAATGCATTACGTCTATACAGCGTATCGCGATTTCTTGAATATCATACCAAATGAAACATAAGGTTGCTTCGTGCGGCACGTTCAGCTGCTCAAAAACATTATAAGCGAAAGATTCAGCTAAGTTCCTCATGAGTAGCCTGTCAAAACTAAATTAGTAAGACGATTTTTCAAAATTCTTACACATTCTACTGCCAGTTTGGGCCTATTTGAGACTCATTCAGCAGCCACTCATACGAAACAAAAGAGACGCGTTCAACTAGCCTCGTACGGAACTTTAAGAAGGGGGAGGATTAGTAGTATGGCATTGGTACGAAAGTATCTATCCTGTCACTGGCTGCAGCAATGTAAGACTGCGCATGATCTCAAGTTACTCATCAAGCCAGGTCAGCTTTCCTCGGATTCTAGAGAATACATCCAGCCCATGACGCCCAAACAAGACAAAAAACGTGTAGTGAACTGTCTGCGGTTGTTGAACAATCGTCCGATATTGCTATCATTAGCGGTATGTGACCTTATTTTGAAAAACGTGCCAACCCAACGATCGCCGTTTGCAACAACCCACCCTAAATAAAGGGAGTTTAAAGTATGCGATTGCCTAAATAAGTGCTCAGCAAACACAAACCTCGTGTGAGTATATAAGCTGTCTACTAATTATTTACTGTGGAATAGCTAAAACTACTGGGGTGTACATAAAGGTGGATCACATTTTCTTACTTGATTCGAATGTGGTCGTTCGCCTAAGAGGACCACCCAACCGGCAGATTTGGTTTTCTGGCTAGTCGAGCAAGCTGTGCTTTAAGAACTATCCGTTAATATACAGGAGTTGTATGAATATATGAGCCTAGCTGGATGGCGCGACTCTAAATCGCATAGTAACCTGTGATGGGCACATACTGTTTTTTAATGCCGATATTTTGAATTTACACGGTGTTTTCTGTGTCGGGAAAGGCCTACCCAAATGATGTAAACGTCCGGTGCAGTTTTTAACTCCCCCTGGAAACATGATATTCACTGTCATATGCTTATCAATAGTACACACCCTACATGCACTTGTTAAGCGAGTAGCGCACATCGCGTGCTTTTTCCCGGCATTTATCTCCAGCATCGGGTCTTTGGAATATACTCTTCTTTTCATCGCTTGTGTTTTTGTCCTGCTTTTTAACGCTTTTCCTCTCACCATGCCATATCAACAAACACCGAAATTCAGAGAAAATGGTGTTCCAAACCCACTCCCTCTGAACAATACCAACTTATCTCAGTCGACTCCTCTGATACGCATTCATAGTCCGGCAATACTAGTCCAACAAAAGAGTCTGGCAGACGAAATCTCTGAAGTAGATTCGCAAGCAAGCAACACATCTGGCGGGCCGAAGACAAAACAAACAACTGAACTTCATGAAGTTGAAGTACAAACTGAACAGGGCGAGAAATCCCCACCAGAAGAGGTCCAAAACAAATGCACGGACTTTAACTCTTTGTTGCAAGATGTGGTAAGTCGGCACAACATGTAATTATTTTTACCAAAAAGGAACACATGTCGATTAAGAGCTTTAATTCGGTGCCGTTCACCATGCGCACAACCGGTTTTAATAACACCAAATTGTGAACAGAAGAAACAAGCAAATACCCGTAATAATCCAATATAATGGTTTGAAAATGTGGGAGAGCGTAGAAGAATGTGGGAGAACAATCAGAAACTTGTCACTGGAGCAAGGATTACATAATTTCAGAACAAACACTCCCGCTGTGTTTGTGAACGGGTTGTTTCCGAAACCATTCCAGTGACCGTTGAGGCAACAGCGGTCAAATCCCACCTCTGACTTCATTTACATGCCATTTACAAAACAATTTTGAGAATATATAGCTAACTAAGCGTTTAGTGTCCCCATCTCCGTCTGTTTTTTTACCAAGGAATCAGTGAAATTAAAAAACTACTCAGTGAAATTTGTCCACGTTTTTTAATAAGCTGGCCAAAACCGTCTTCTAACTTTCTTGTTTTGCATCTAGTGTGTGTATAATACTTTGTCGCCTTGACTTTAGTTAGCACATCCGTCGGTTTTAGCGAAAGCTTGCTGAGAGATTGCTGCCTAGCCAGAAATGAACTGATGATAGACATAAAACGCAACCGAGCGTTCTAACATTTGGCAGCAGATTGCTTCTGAAGGTGACGTTTTACTTAAAATTAGGAGCCCTTTAGCCAGAAATGAACTGATGATAGACATAAAACGCAACCGAGCGTTCTAACATTTGGCAGCAGATTGCTTCTGAAGGTGACGTTTTACTTAAAATTATGGAGGCCTATTCGGTACACCTGCACGTCTCAAGTGGGTTGTCTTCTCCCAACTCCGAGACACCGAAGCTGAGACATCTCCTGTTTTGTGTCCCAAAGGACCAACAAAGGCTTCGAGACATTAACCAATACAAAAAGAGTTGACTCTGATATGATGTTATTCTGAACAACCCCCGGACTGTACTAAGATGACTTGGTGGAAAACACCAACAAGACCGCATCGGTCAGTCACAACCAGCGATTTATAAAGCGCTAAGTTTACTAGCTTCGCAAATCTGGCGTTTGTTCAAACTCAGCTGAGAATGACTGGTCAGTCACATTGACCTGGCTATAGTAGCTTCTCGTTCGGTCTAATAAAACATCGAGCCCTTTGTTTGATTAGACATTTCAAGGTACTGTCTGGTCGGTCTGGGCACCAACTAAACATGGCTTCCTGTACATATTTAATACAGCCGTAGGTAGGCCTAAAATTCACGTCATACACGTGGGGCCGCGTTCTCTGAGGGCAATCATGCACTCAGCACAGCTGAATTAAATACCGGTATTCATGACATATAAGGAAAATTGCAACTTAAATTTAGCACCTATGACCCGACTTGATGGATCTATATGAGTGATTACGCCATGAAATACACAAAATTTCATTTTACAGCCATTGAACTCTATTTACACGACTTGTACAAGGCAAAATCAAACATATCTGGTATATCTACCAACCCGTTATATAATGGGGAGGCCCTATGTTGCGTGACTCTGAAATAGACAACTTATCATGAGTAGTGTGAAATAAATAAGGAAACACAAAAATAGCTTAAAAGCATATTAAAGTGGAATACATCATCTAGTTGGATGAGGTTTTTATAAGAATGACATTCATACTTGAAGTGAGCATCCTCATTCTGATATCACGATAAAAACCAAGGTCGCAGAACAAGTGTATGCGGTACATATAGGTGACCCAATATAAAACACGAATCCGTCGTAGGCGTATGAACTCTGATTCTTTTTCCCTTGTCCTTCCAAGAATAGCCAGTTTTTATTGCGATAATTCTTTCTTACCGTTGCTGACATTACATTTCACCCTTTTAAAACGCTGATGAAACCCAGTCACCTGGGCCTTCCAGAGTATTGCACTGCTGCCTGAATATCTACAACGCGGATAGATGTCTCTTTCATTTCATCGATTAGGTTTGCTCAGTCCATCGTTTCAGGATCTCATTCGGTTTTGATAGCATGAGTTAAATTATACTCAACTATGTATCATACGAAGAATACTGCCTTGTAGATGGTTTATCAATTAGGGATTTAAAATGTGCTTCAGGCGTATCGAACACTTCGTAAAAAAGTGAGGACTTTCTGGATAACTAAATGGAGTGCTAAAATCGCTTGTCCGATCAAGTCACGTAAAGGGTAGGAGGTCCGAGATTTTGTACAGAGACCTACTCACACGAAGTGTACTGTAGTCATATTCAGTCAAATGTCACTCATTGCTTTTTGCCAAAACGTTGTCTGTAAGATTATCGCCAGTCACAAAGTTTGGCCCTCAGTATTTGCGTGATTTCTCCACTTCGAGTAGAAACTGCATCGGTTGAACCAATGAGCACCCCCAAATGTCCAGGTTGGATCACAAGGTCGTTAGAATTATGCATCAGTACACATGTTTCTGTCTCACTTGGTGCTAAGGATCTGCAAAGGGAATGTTAGTTGGAAGTAAATTGTATTGCGCACTGTTTGTTGGCCGTCTTTGTGTGCCTATGGTTGGGTTTCAGTTTTTATTCTCATATGGATTTTAACCAATTTTAATGATTCGGATGGCAAAAGTATGACGAGTCACTGGAAATCCGGTAAGTTGAAGGTTACATTTAAGTAGTTAATTGAACACAAAGTATTGCAGGTCTTTTTGGATAATGAAAGCCATAATGGCCATAACGGCGAGTAATTTCCTACAGGTGGTCAAATTATTAAGGTGATGCTGTGGTCGTTTACTAGCTGTTTGCGTCACAAAAGCAAAACGTCAATCAAAATATATAGCTGTCCCTTAAAAACGTACTAAAACACGATAGCCTCTTCTCAAAATTGACTCATATCAGTGGATGTTTCCTCAAGCCCAGTGAACCTTGATGAGGCGAGCGCTTGATAGCAAACTAAGTCGTAATCAGCCGACACCGTCAGACATTCATTAGACTCGAAATCTTCCAGCAAACTGGTTACAAGAATAGACTTCGAGACGTGAATCAACGGTCGTAAAAGCACTGAGTTAAAGAATGAATCTTTATTAGTGCTCGACGCATCACGTAACTGACAGCTGGAGGTAGTACTAACATTCAATTGTAAAACTACGCTGTCAGTGGGACAGGGACTGAGGGCGTATTATTTGAGTCAAGGCAGCTAGAAACCGATGAAGATGATATGAATGTGAGGGAAGTATTACGCACAGCTTACGTCTGTTGAGTGTACCACAGTCGGAGTTGCTACCCCCACGTTTGACAGGTTACTGGACGAATCCAAGCGACTGTGGTGGTGTTTTTGAGTACAAGAGCAACAAGCATTAGTGAGGTCATGCCGCGTTCCTGCTGCCACTACAGCAAGTTTCTCACCACGCTTGAGCTACCCAGCTGTGCTGATATTTTAGACGGTACCAGTGCGCACGAGCGAAGCAATTACGATCAGACATCCGGTTGTATTGTGGCAATTTAAGTTGATCCGACAGCACTGTTGATTTTTACGGAAAATAGCTAGACAATCAATCCGTCTGTGCCGCGGTGAATTCACCATACCATTTTGTTAAACTAGTTAGGAAAAGAATTCATGACTCCGACTCACTGCATGAGTCTTTCCATTTTACGGACACAAAAAGATTTACTATCGAACACACCAGATGATTTACATGATTTTTATCAGACAAATAAATTTAGTCAGTGCACAGTTTGAGACGTTTTCATGGGACTTCAAAACTGGTCCGTTGGCGCTTCCTACCAAGCAACAGAGCTTACACACGAGGGCAGATGAGCCATATCTCCGAGCAATTCAACCATTGTCGGACGGCTATGACACACCAACAATCAATAAGTAGATTAGTAGCGATATACTTCCTCTAAGTGCGAGATAACCGCACTGCTGATCAGTCCTTCGTGGCCGAATGGTACTAAAGCTTTCAATCCACTGACTGGGAGGTCGCATATTCTTTGGAATTTTGTGAGATGGGCCTGCCGATGAACAATGCTTTTCGGTTTTTGATACATACTGACTTTACTCGCAGGACGTTATCTCGGTTATGACACTTGTTGCCCTTATTCACTTTCCTACTGAGGTAGCTAGGCATTCATTGACAAAGTTACTCATCTGGTGGATACGTTTAATAGTAAACCCACAAAAGCTTGTTTTACCACCTATCGACTTCACTCCTTGCCGACGTCTTTCACTCCCAGCTAAAAGCTTTACACTACATTACGTTGGAAACCACACGCAGAGAAATCGCTTCTGATGCTTTGCCAATCTCTGAAGTCGGTGGCCTCAGTGTCTTGAAACGATCCAAGCTGAAGTCTACCGGATTTCGTTTCACTAAGAGCTTTACTTTGCAACCTTCCACCGTATGGCTATGTCAACAAATCAACACTCAATTGGAAACTATAATCTCAAGGTTGGTTTATGGACATATTTATACTGATTTTAGCGCTGATCTCAATTCTATCCTGTGAAGCCGCGGAACAACAACAAAGCTTGTTTTTGAGGGCCTTCAGCTGGTGGTATCCTTAACACAATTGTATTTCAATATAAGTGTTCTTTTGTCGGTTTGATTTCACCGCAGTTAATTCATGCTGATATCCCATCTACTTGATTATGACTGACCGGTTGACTCGTTCTATTTGGTGCTGAATGATTTCCTCATGTTTGATGGGTCAACTAGGTGTCTTGTTTGTCCGGTCGTTTCCAATTTGGTGTTCTATTCGGTCTTTCAATTCTGGTCACGTGAAAAATCCTTTAGGTTGCGATTTGTCTGATTACCCCATACATACCTTCCACAATTTCTTCTCTAGCTTCACTTTTGCGAATGTGAATCTCCTTCCTACCGCTGTCATGTTTATCGGGTTGATTGCAATGTGTTTGCCGATGGATTATCCAGTGGATAACTTCGCTTCATCTTGTACAGAGACGAGTGAAAATTGGCCATATAACTTAGTTTCAAATTTGATCTCATTGGGTCTGGTGAAAAGCCTCTTCAAAGTTTGTCACAACTGTTATATTAAATCTTGTAAATTATATTGCTCCTCATCAGCGCATTAGCTTTATTTCTGGTTTAGTTAATGCTGTCTGCAGGGTACCCGCAGTTCCGCGGGCCATTGTTATATTATGCGGCTGTAGTGGTCTTGCTCTCATTCCGGAATGCTTGATTCTGACTGACCCAAAGCTTTTTCCTTCGGTTTTTTGTTGTTTCATTTTTGGACCTGACTTAAATTGACATGCTTGTATGACAATGAAACGCCAGTATTCAACGCTAGTGCTGCTCACAGAGATGCAATCTTGTACTTACTGATGCCTTCATTGTCATCGAGATATATTTTTATGAGTTACATCCAGAAACACCATCGCTGTGCAGGCTGGTGTCCACCACTAGTCTTTTCACTCTGGTTAGATCCACAGAAGCGATTGATACTTTTGGAGTTTACATTCGATGAAGCAATCGTGGTGTATAGGAATTCTTTCTCCTTTGTGAACTTTACTTTTGCTCTCTTGTTTCAAGGGGAATAATGGTCGGACTGCTGGCCCTCCTTCTTTACGGTTCAGACCTAGGGACCAATAGAACCTGTTAGGAATGAAAGATCTGGTGGTTTTGGCTGACCAGTATAAAAACCTACGCATAAGCCTCATTATGGGGTACACCAGATTCCGCATAGCATGGGGACTGAACAAAAACGGCTGATTTCATATCGGTTTGAGGACAAAAAGTGGGATCATTTGCCAATGTGAGGCCCTTGCACGTGCAGCTGTCCTGCCATGATGAATTGATTTTTCTGATACCAATTCGGTGTAGGTTGTTTTATGATCGGGATCTAAACAAAGTAAATTCTGATCTTGAACGAGAGTGACACAGCTGTACAATGTTGTGCCGACTAAGATCGAGGAAAACCCCAGGCGGAGATCTGGCTACTACTTTCTCGAGCTTGGCATGTCAAGATAAAACTGCATTGCACCAGAATGCAAAGGATCACAGTTGGTAAATTTAACTGTGCAAGTAAAATTAACCCAGGAATGGTTCTACCGGTCTAGACGAAAACTGAATGATAGCGTTTGTCGAAGCAAAACAAAACCAAGATTTTCAAACTATCACCTCACGCTGCAGATGTATACGCGTCAAAAGCCGTCATATTGTTATTACCTCGACTCTACATATATACCCCAAACAGCTTATCCAGAAACCGCAAATCAACACAGAAATATCCAGCCTCTGAAGACGAAAACTACAAGGTAGGTATTAGAAACTGTGAGTTTTTCTATCTAGTCAACATACGTTGAATAAGAATATGGGATTTCTAGTTTGTTTTTGAGCTTATTGACTGGGAATACGTACTAACCTTAATTCCATTGTACATGGATGAATGTTGCCAGAAGAAATAACTCGCCCACGATAGATGAACTGAACACACTCCATAGGTTGCACGGGCCTGACCAGATGCTTCGTATGTAAGTAGAACAACTTCTCCAAAGGGCTCTTTTGTTCAACCACGTAAAGGGTGGAGACGAGCCCGGGGAGGTCAAACAATGACTCGGTAGCGAAGTATGAAAGCCATTACCGACAAGCTCACTTACACTGGTCACTGTCCTCTTCTTGGATGGAGACCCTTAGATGGGTCACATCAATGGTTAGAAACATTGGCAGACATGCTCTGGTCGCGACCTCAATCACGCTTGTTCATCCAAACTATTACCTTCAATATACAGCTCTTTTTCCAATTTTCCCAATGAAAAGCCTATTCACACCTCTGTGTTTACGCATAAACCATATCAGCTACTGCCTCCGAACTGCAGTTATCTATCCACTCCCCCAAATCATCGTTGAACAAAACTGTTAGCTATAATCATTGTACGACAAGTACGCGGCCCTTACAGCTGACGATGTTGCTGAAGGCAAACTTCCGATTTGGTAATCATGCAGAGTCACATCTACATAACAGCAAAATTAGACAATAAGGGTCTTTCTTACGACCGCTAAGATAATTCTAAGACGAGGAATGAAATGCACGATAACCACTTCAGATGGCATAAGTGCACTTACTTGACGTTTCACTTTCCAAATGCTGTTACTGCTATCGATGACCTAATAAATTATCTGTTGAGTGAAATATTCGACAAAGTGCCTGAAAATGGTACCACAATAAGTTTTCATTCCTTGAAAACTGTGACTTTCACGTTTTTCATCATATTTTCGCTGTAAACAGCGCCGTACTCTAGTGTCCCAGAGTGCATCACGATGGGTCTCGGAGCCAACATTGTACTTCGTAAAGCAGCCCGATGACGTCAAAATCGGTAAGTTGTAAATTGCTCGTCATAAAAAAGATAAGTTGCCATTGGTAATCCTTTGATCCGAAGTTTTAAATTGTAATAAACTGTTGTCATAAACTGCTAAGTTTTTCAGGAGAAAAGGAGCGGTCAATAGTGAGGCAACTTTCAAATTTCTGTGTTTTCAATGAAGTGAGACAGAAGGTTTACCAGCATAGTTGTATGGCGCGTTAGTGTAAAAATGTTAAGTTTGTGACTAGTCGAATGGCTTGAAAGTCACTTGGAAAATGCGCTGAATCATTTTCTCAAAGATATCACTGACCAAAAAAAGATAAAAAGCTGATCTCGTGAAAACTGCAAATACACACAACATGTAAGATCTTCTGATCCAGCTTGACCCGTTTACACAAATAATTCAGTAGCATATTATCACGCAATGCCATTTCTAGAGAATATCAAACCCGCAGAAGTGGATGAAATCACTGAACCGAGAACAGGTCAAGAAGAGACAATAAATGGATAGTGATTGTTGTTGTCTAGGCCATTACAGAAGCATAAATCCCGGTCGTACACCGTACTGTTTTGCGACACTTGATCGAATTAACTTGGTGGAACTCGGCTATCAAATCAATGTGATTTAATGGCCTGCGATGAGTGCTGTGCACTATGTAAGTGCATGTAAGAGACATGTATTAATTTGGGGTACTCAGTCCCATCTAAATGAAACAGTTCGTCTCGAATTATTGAAAAACTTTTAAAACAACAAAATACAATCCACTTTTGTTGATCTAGAGGTTAGTTTAAACACTTTGGCAACCCATGATCCGTGCTCCATTCTTTGGGCTTATCAGGAATTGTAATTCCCAGGGGTTCGTAAACCAATTTGCAAAATGAATTCAGTCAAATCTTCAGTTAAAACGAAAAACAATTTGCCAATGGATGCATCTGGTCTCAGTACAACGTAATTTTGGCGGAAACTCACGTATTACATTTATCTGATGGGCTGAAAAAAGATAAACACTTGTCAGGATCTGTCGAAAATTTATCGGCAAATTTATGAGTAGTGAGTAGTTTATGAGCAGTTTTATCAAGTAAGTCTTCATCGTGCAACTATCCTTCGTCAACTGAATTACATCACCTAATATAATAAGCAATAAATAAGTAATATAAAGACGATGTTACAACAGACTAGGCTGATCTTTTTGTGCACCATATTTTGGCTTTGTTTACTGAAAATTGTGTTTTTGTCTTCCAATACTATTATTTATCATGGCTTTAGTAAGATTATAAATATGGCTTATCTTACCTAGGTGCAGTTGAATTCTTCTCGGTCGCTGGATTGGGGAACAGTAGGGGTGATATCCCAGACAGCGCGCTATCTACTACAACTGATTTGAAACAGGCGATCCCAAGCTTGATAGCTAAAAAGTAAGAATCCTGTTCCTTTTCCACACTGCCAGTAAATTCCAGGTTTTATCTGGTTTCGTTTACAGTATCGCCTCTATCTTTATCAATAAGGGGTGGCCTGTCATTAAATTTTAATGCCCAAATATCAGGCACCCGGAAAAAGTGTAGGAAAAACAGTGAAAAAGGCAAAATCATTTAGAGTTTATGCTCTGTGTCCTAAGAAAAATTCCAAGAACAGTTTATTGCATCTCCAGATACCAGCAAGATCAAACACCAGAGCGTAGTCTACTGGGACTGACCCAATACAGTTCATGAAATTTTCCATCACTGACTGAGCGGAGGAGAGTAGAGATCTCTTGCAAAACATCCGCGAGGAGGCAACACTGCATTAGCTACTTGACTCACTAACTTGTGCTGTTTTTAAGATTTCCAGTCATCTTCATAGACAGTAACGTGGGGTCTTGTTGGAGAGCAAAGTTTCACTGCAACCATCTTCATTTATATTTGATTCAATTAGACTAAGGATCTTCCATCTCCGGATATGGATGTACCATGGGTTTTAAAGCAGAAATGTCTCCCAGATGGTTCAGCTTCATAAAATGACTTACAGTAGGTTTTTATTTACCTAAGGATTCAATGCTGGGGAAATGTTGATTTATCCAATTTTTAAAATGAACTCAATGAATAACACCATATAATATGTAGTAAAAGCAATAAGATTAGTTTTAGTGTATATCAGATTTAAATTCAGCTTTTAATAATGTCTGCATTTCATGTGTCCGAGGGCGTTTCTACCCTCAAGACAAAATTTTCTGTGATGACCAAGTTTACGCCCTCGAGGATGGGGTCCACGTGACTCCACCCGCGCTTGGCTGAAGACTGCAAGGAATAGCGGCTGCTCGATGTCAGTGACTTTCGGGCTGTCAGTTTCACTCCAGAATGTCTGATTGAGCCCTTGGAGGTGTAGGCACCTCAGGATGCGGGCATGGGCCAGCACTATGTTGCCTCCCTCACACACATTCTTTTTTCTCTTTACTCCACTACTCTAAATACGTATGAACGTACGGCAGTGAATTATCAGCATCAACGCTTATAATGATGTTCCTGAGGAGCAGGATGATGAATAGGCAAGCTGACTTGTTTGCAACCCGGAGGTGACTCGGGAGAGCCCAGAAAGCATAGATATTTTGTAAAAGGTGAACAGGAACTAGTGCACTCTTGTATAATTAAATATGAACAAACAGGATAGAGTTCTCCGCCACTATATAAAGTACTCACCCGAACTTCCAATATTTTAACACTACTAATAAGGAGCGTCCAAACTGCTTCTCACTTTGAGCTATTGCCTATTTAAACTCCCGATCTGAAACTAAAGCAGAATGGAACAGAGTTACAGTGAGTGAATCCACAACCATCTAAGATGATAAATGCTCGTTGCAAATGACCACACCGACCGGTTAAATTCATTGTAGCCCAAAAAATCAGTTATGGATTAAGTTATTTTAATATAAATCGGTTTTTCTTAAATCCGAGCCTTTGTTTGATGGTTTGACCGATGAAGAAGTCCTAGAGAGTATGCTTTCATAGATTCGAATGATCTTTATTCTTTCCCGACTGTGTATCTTCAGTCTTTAACCACTACCCGAAGGGTCGCGTCTTCGAAACTTGAAAAGATGTGCGTGAGGTGCGCGCGGTTGACACTCCCCGGCAAAGACGATACGGTTACACTGAACTTCTTGGCGTTTTGCCACCGCTTAATTAGACGTATAATGTGAGATCGTGATTAGAAATTTGCGACTGCTAAACGTTTTGACAAGAAACAATCACTTTCTCGAAAAAACAGTAGTTAATCACCCGTCTAACATCCCACAGGTTGAATTAATTAACTGTTCTGTAACAGTCATGTCTTGGCTTGCCGACGAAGACCTTGTTTATCTGGAATGTGCAGACGGTATCTATCTCGCCCTCAAGGGACAGAACATGCAGGTGTTTTGTGGATGAATTTACCAAATTCACCTCGTCCTTCGGTATGCGCTTTGAACCCACGTTATTTAACGTCCTGCTATCGAGCAAGCAATCACTAAACACGTCTGTTGCAATCCAGGGGGTGTTAATCGAAGTTGTGGACCGTTTTACGTACCATGGTAATTGCGTTTGTTTCGAATGTAGTGTGACAGATGAGGTCAGTGCACGGAGGTCCAAGGCTCAGGTCGCGTTTACTAGTTCGAGACAACTATGGCGTCACAGAGTTATATACATGAATCCAAATCAACTTGTGTACCGGGCTACAGTACGCGCTGTTTTATTTTACGGCTGCGAGACTTGGCCTATTCGAGCAGCGGAACTGAGACGTCTTCAGGTGTTCGACAATCCTTGTCTCAGAATCAGCTCGTGTGCTTTGGTGTCAGTAGATCTGTAACCAGGCAGATAAAAAGTGAGTGTTTATTATGCAGAGGGGACTTACACCAAAGAATATGTCCCACACCAAAAAATGAGGCAATTAGGTCATATATTGCGTATGCCGAGGCATTGTTTGCCGAAAATAATGCTGTTTTTATTGCCCTATTCGAAGAGGTGTAAGCGGAGAGGTGGCCAAGCCTTGAGCTGGTAGACAGGTAACTAAGAGACGGCAAAAAGTGTGGGTTTTGTCGGTGCCACTCACCTTCGAGGATGGGGACCGCGCGATTCTTACTGCGCCTGGTTGGGAACGCTGCGAGATGTGGCTGCTAATCGATGCCAATGGCCTGCTTATTGTCAGTTTCTATCCAGATTGCTTGAATGTGTCTGGAGGTAGAGGAAACTCGGAATCATTGTGGTCGACTAGAGCTAAGTCCCTTCGTCCACTTCTATCCTTTTTTTAAGGTAACTCTTCCAAATAAGTCGTAGTTTGACGAAGTGAGGCATTGATGTTGAACACTGATGTTATGCTACTGATGACGATTAAGTTGTTATATGAATCTGGGTCTGTTCCACTTCGGAGAGCCAAGCAAATTCATCAAGTTTGCGGACGAAGGCTTTTGTACAGTACTTCTTGTTTCTGTCCTGGTGCTTTTTGCTTGACTGCTACAGAACGTTTTTGTCACCAAGCTAACTACACTACACAACGGTCTGAAGCGAAAAAGCTTTGCTTTTAAACATTTTTCTGAGGGAAGAGTGCGGTAAAACTAGAAGTCGGCAAAAACGCTTTTATGCTTGCGGTGTTTCTTGGACTTATGTTTCTCGTGGAAATAGAGCGCTGCATCATTTGAGTTCAATCTATCAACAAAGCATGAAAACGATTTGCATAAAAGAAGCGATAAATTAAATTTACGGTACTTTCAATCCTAATTCTTGTGTTATTTTTGCGCATGAGGGTATGAATGGTGTTAACGAGTAGTGGTTGAAAACGGACCTCGAACTTTTCGTCAGACAAGTTTTGTGAAAACATGGATTCCGTATTTGAAATGAACTGAGAAAAATACGAGTTGATGCGTCTTTAAGACTAGTTTACACAACTCATTGACAGTATGAAGCTTGCCTCAACCTATTAACCATTAACTGGATCAATCGCTGGCCAGTTTGTTCGAAAACATGTACGTTCATGGTTTTTATAACTATACAATTAGAATGCAGCTATCAGAAATTATCACATTTTAGTTGTAGAATTCCCTATTGGAGAACAAGTGAAACGATGTCGTCAGAAAAGTTGATTTGTGCTCTGGAGATGGAAATGCAGGAATTCAAACTGGCTCACAGAGGAACAAAATCCGAAAATTCTTTGCAGGAGTTTATTATGAAACGAGAAATAAATCAACTTCAGAATATGATGCTGGTGAGATCTGAAATAGAAATCTTTCCTTAACACTACTGCTTGTGAATTTATTTCGTGTCCGTTTTAACTACTCCACCGTGTTACCAAACGGGGCTCAGGAATCATGTGTTAACTTTGAGTGAGAATTTCAGTTGACCTAGCCAGAAAAACAATTGCCGCTTATTGAATAGTTTTTAGATTACCTTGCCTATAATTCACCTGAGCATACCAAGATGGGATAATTATTATAGCCCATGATCAAATGCTCAACTGCAGGAACCTAATTAATGGTTCACTTGACCAATCCCTATACAATAACATAGAAGCCGAAATTAAGACGGGAACTCCTCTCGTGGTTGGGCAATTTGTGACTTGGTCGGATCCATACCGATAGTGGCCAATCAAATTTGAAGTTCACCGTGTGTCTCATCTTACGTTTGGAACACTCATCCTAATCACAGTAGACGAATCAAGAAAACATCTAAATTTACTTTTTATTTGTGGGTGGGAAAAATTGTTTGCGTTGGGATAGGTAACTTGGTAGTATTTGAGCCTGTGTGTATCTGTCGGGTTGTAAGGCAGTCATACACCGAATAGATGTCATCCGGAAAATTAGAGCTTTGTTATTACCGACAATTCGTTGGGATTATTGATTACTTTAGTATTCAAACAATTATTCTATAACCTCTGCCAGTTGACTTCCCCTGTCTAGGCTTGGGCAACTTGGCAGTATCCCAGCCCTGGTGCTCTCATCGGGTGGCATTGCAGTTAGGCGTTGAAAGGGTGTTACAGCTGAATGTTTCAGTTATCCGAAAGAATTGGCGAATAGCGAATAAAGTTACGGAACGTTGACCGTGTATCTACTTAGATTTCAAAGTGACTAGGAAAATAATGGTTTGAATATATTTTCATTTATGTTCTTTTCAAGTTGGGGATTCACCAGAATTTTGACCTCCCAATCCAACGAACACATCTTTGTTATCAATAGAAAAGTCTTTCCATTGGTGACTTTCGAATTGGTCCTGGTGTACCCGTGGATGTTTGGGAGGAGCAATGTAATAAGAATAAATAGCAACATAAATATATTGTTTTTCTTGAGTTTCTGTGGGGACACTGCCAATTGTGTAAATCCTTGCTTACTTGGAAGAATTAATTTACACCTTTCTTTTTTCTACATGTCAAGCAACTTGGATTATTTATGGAGAACCTTAATCATTTTGTCCACCTGGGCCAGGCGGACGAAAGGAATTCACGAACCAGCAACAGCAGAAAAACTAATGATATGCAACTGGCTTCCGACGAATGGAAATTAATCGTCTCTCACTTAGAAAATCTATTCACCCGGATACTGGATCATATTGATTTGATTGAGTCACATTCTACTGTATGCAATATCCAGCCAGATCAAGCGGTGAGATGTGCGAATTCTCTCCCATAAATGAGCAATGTACACTTGCAGTGCCTTCTTCCTAGGGTCAAACTTACACACCTCACTCGAGTTGCTTTAAACAACCTCTATATTAAGGAAAACCGTAGTGCGCATACATAATGTGCAGTCATTTTAGTTTTCCTACAACCTCAGCAGAATGACTAATTCATTTGTTTGGCTGTAGTAGCAGTCTGGTACCATAGGGTGCTTAGTGCGTTTATTATTATATGTAGGACGCAAATACCTAGAACACTGTGTGTGTGGACAAAAGCTACAAGAGACAAGCCGAGTTTCACAGATTTATAAATTTGGTTGTCTGTTCGCCAGCTTCCAAAATCTAGAATCGTTTCATCGGACTAGCACGTTCATAATCTGAACCCGCATAAATTGAAATGTTCTCACATACACTGTAGTGGTTTAGTTTTTGGATCATTCTTCGGAAAGCAAGCTTCCTCTGCATAGTGTTAAGAAGCGGGCAAAACTGGGGTCTTCTATACCGAACAACGGCAACCAAACAGCTTTTTCACTTTTTCATGCGGGAAGAAAACATCGAGACTGAAATCGATGTTGCATAGCGCTAAAAAGAAAAAAAATTGGCAGGCAGATTTGATCAGGTTTGATACCGCGCAACTGAACACTGTTCGTCTTGACTTCACAAAAAAGCAATTAAAGTATGCTGTTCTGCACTTCTGCGTTTTAAGTTCATTCCGTTGGGGTAGCTTAGTCTTATTTATGAGGAGGTTCAATACCAAATCGACGAGTTATCGAAACAAGAAATGTTTTGAACACAAAACGTGCGCATTCATACAGATCGAACTAAAAATAGGACTATTAGCCTTGGCAGTTATGTGACAAACCATAAGCATCCAACTACGAAGTAACTGGTGGTATGACATGAGAAGACGTTTAGAAAGCGATTTCTCTATTTGTGACCATCCTTAATAGAAAGAGCCGTTACTAATCAATCCCGCATGTCCAAACTTTTACATCACATGAATGATGAATCCTGGAAAGACACTTCCTGTGGATAAATATGCATAACCGATGGGCTTGATGAGATTAAATGGTTTTGTGTTCCTGCGGGTGCGCCGAATAGTCACGTCCCCGCTTGAATAAATCCCTCTAACCAAGATTCTACCTTTCTGTTTCAGACCAGAGTGGCTCAATTGTACCAATTACTTGTGAGTTCTTGGTTGACGTTCTTTGGAGTAAATGTGGTTCATTTTCAGGGTGATCAAGTATGTCTATCGACAAGAAACGCGCTCCAACTCTTTGACTCCATTTTGCGAAGCCCACGAAGGTCAGTTGAGATTTGAGCACCTCCAGATTTAAAATTATACTAACCTTGTTGGATCACCAGATTTGTATAGCTCGTAAAATAAAAGCCGGATACCAAATAGATTAGATTCGCTGTCATGCCCCGTGGCTGGCAAGGCTCGTCATTGCTCGAAGCCTGGTCAGTCAACATTTCGCTGAGCGGAAGGCAGTAATCGTCAATTTCTGCTTTATTGGTTTTGGTGCTTTTTATTCCCCAGTTAAAATTGTGGAATTATTGATGGCTGCGTAGTGGCTTACAAACTACGAACTCGCATCCTCTTATACGTTGAGTGACCTATAAAAATTAGGATATTTTATGTATTGTGTACAAAGTAGTGGACACTCACTGGCAGAAACAACTTACAGTCTAGATGTAAATGCATTCAAAGAGGCTCGAAATATGAAACTGTCATGCAGTGTCACTTTGTCATCCATCAAATGCTTCAATCGGCCTTACAGAAATGAATATCAATTCGGCAGAAACAACTTACAGTCTAGATGTAAAAGCATTCAAAGAGGCTCGAAATATGAAGCTGTCATGCAGCGTCACTTTGTTATCCATCAACATGCTTCAATCGGCCTTACAAAAATGAATATCATTTTCATTTAACGTGCAGTTCAGCACCCCGAATGATTTACTAAACGAAAGATCGGACAGGGTTCTTTGTGAGGTGCTGAGTTGCTTTCCCGGGCTTGGGACGACTGGACAGAATAAAATTACGCTGACTGCAGATGAGCAAGTCACTCTACACCCCCCACACTGCGGTGACTAGCGTCGACGTAGGCAAGTTGTTCACAGAAAAAGGCTTTTAGTTGAGTCTATGGCTTCCGGAATTCTGGGATTTAGAAATTCGGGAAGTTAGGCTTAAACTCAATATTTTCCGAATCGTCCAATGCACGGCTTTAATTTAAATAAAGCTTACTTCACAATTAAATAATTTGATCATCTTGTTTTGGTTTATTCCCTGATCCAGTGCCACTTTACTGATGATTGATTCAGTCAGATAGAAAAATCCATAGGTCTTCAATATTTGTTCTCGGTCGTGGAAAAAACAAGTGAATAAAAGTGAAAAGTATTGTTGGCCGAAATTTGACACCAAGTGGCTTTGGCAACATAAACAGGATAAAAAATCTTACCAGTCAAGCTACTGTCAAGGATTGTAAATTAAAGAGCTCTGAACAGGATTACCTTGAACATGGGACTTGTTGACGAAGCCGATTTCTTATACAAAGTTACGAAGCATGAACCCTATCCTTGTGTAAGAACCTCTTGGAAAGTGGAGACGGCAAAGAAAACGATACTTTCTACGGAAAATATCCAGCCCAAACATGTTTCAAAACATTTTGACAAAAACCAAGAAGGTTATGAGGAACATTCTTCCCAGTGTCAATCCTGTGCCCATCTATGCATGGTTGAAACAAAAGTAAGGCACTAGTGTGCTAGGGAGAAGTAATATCTAAGATAGACAGCGTGGTCATCGCACACTTATACCTCAACTTCATCGTTAGGCTCGGTCTTGCCGAAGGTAGTTTTTAGTTCGGAGGACAATGTGTCGAATAAAAGCATCCTGTTCCTATCTCCTCAGCCAAATCGGTATGAAAACCAGGCAAATCACAGTAGACAGAAACTTGTTTCAGCTGCTCTGCTGCCAACTTTTGAATGGTATTGCCCCTCTAGAGCTCTCATCCTGTCAAAAACAGTCAATACAGGGTTATATACCGATCTGATTGTGTAAACAGGTTTTTCCTTGTAACGAAAAACGCTCCCAACATGATGTTTATGTTCTTTGAATTCCGAAAGTTAAGAAGCCCCTACAGCCATTCAAAAAATTGTTCATCTGTCTTCAAGCTTCTGTTGCACTACCTGACTGGGAAGTTCTGACAAGTGTAAATCGATCGACACATCCGGATCGGTCACTGGGTCGTCGGCCGACCATCGGGCTAACTAGTCACACTGCTCAATGGAGAACACGTTCGCCTGTTCACACGAGATCATTCAAGTGCGTCTACCTTATGCTGGTGGAGCAATGGCAACACACTTGCCTCGCATGTCCAATGTCCGGAGTTCCATTCCCTGAACTGGTAATAATATGCCCTGCTGATGAACTCTAGTAGGAGAGAAGCTCCAGTCAGGTGTGGTTTCGCTGGAATGATTGTCCCGGGAGGGGAGAAAGAATGTTCGATATGAACGTGAATCGTGCATTCATTCTTTTATGTTGTTAGCGTCTCATGCAGTGGGGGGACCAGTTAACCTTTGCTTCTGGCGCGCAGGCAGGTACTTCTTGGAGCCGACTGTGTTGTGACGGAAAAAACCAACGATGGTAACAGAAGGGCAATGTTTGCTGAGAAGTTCAAGTCAGCTCCATGAAAAACTCTGAACACAATTTTACCAATTTGACTGTAATAAGCATATACAGACTAAAGTAGTTTTTTTAAGCAATCACACGGAACCAGAATCAATCCTCTTGAAACTGTGACAATGATATTTCGAATTATTTAGCAAACAAATTATTACAAGCTCGGTTAAGCAGCGCGCGATATTTCAATGTGCATTCCATGATTGCCGGAGTCTTCAATCCATTTCTTTTCAGTGTGATGACGCAAACTGACGAAAAAATTGTGCAGCTACTTTCCAGAATGTCAGAGGTAAGCGTCTTGAATTGTGTTTGCCAAAGCTCAAATGACTTATAAGGTCTCTCACCCTCATACAAAATTCCCCATATAACCTAAATGAGTGTTACGTTAGCCAAAAAATCTGTTTTTTAGTCGATGAATTGAGGTTTACTTGAACACCGACAGTAGATGCGTACCACCTTCTGCGTTCGTAAAGTGGTCTAGGCTGAAAATAGCATCAGAATGGATTCTTCCAGTTTTTTTGAAACCTTCGATCTCTACGGACATGAAGTAAAGGCGTGTATTTCCCTTGAATCAACCCCCATGCAAGACGGAAAAAGTGACACAAGCAACTTTTCAGATGCCTTCTGGGAGTATTTATCTTTCTAAAAGTTACCCAGGACAACCTTATGGAGCAACGCGAAATGAGCTTGCGATATGGACGAAGATATACTGTAAATCAAATGATTCTTTGAAGTAAGTTTCGAGAGTTTGATAAACGTGACATCTGTAACCATCAAATGCAAAAAGACGCAGCTGGAGAAAAATATAGGTTTTGCGATTATTTGCCCTACATGAGTTTCCTTAATCCGTCAAGAAATCAAACGTTCGACACACGCCCCACAGAGCTATGTTTTTAAGCGGCCTCCGATGGAATCCATCAGCAACTAATAAAATAAATGTTGCCAAAAATGGCTCTTATATAGAAGCCACATCTAATGTTCCGTTCAGTTGTTACGATCCATCCAGAAAGACCCGGTTTGGCCCAACATTTCCCGTCCTCCTTCAAACAACCAACTGTAGCATGAAGCCAAAGATATGTCCTATTTTCACTAACTAACCCAAATGATCATCGTCCGAATAAGTCCGAGACTATACCTAAATGTTCCTTTACCTCTAGTAAGTTTCTCCCTACGTGTGATTCATAAAATCCACTAGTATTGTAACGAAGTGGGCACAAAACTCATCACCGGATTCAGCATTGGAAATTTTGAGAGCACAGTGATCCTCGCGTTTGTGAATAAAGTATACAAAGAAATAATTTGGTGTCCCATTGCTGGCAGAGAAAAAATAACTGCACGTTTCTAACTAAAAGCAATAAGCTTTTTATGCCTGCGTGAGTAATGTTACCACACTGCCGGTCACATCCTTCCTGTCCACAATATAATGTTTAACTACTTTAGGTTGGGACTATGTAAACTACGGTCATCCCACTACCAATTACGCTTTTTCGGACTCATCAGGTAGTCCTGATACCCGTCAATCTTATTTTGTAACTGAACAGAAAACTAAAGACAACTGGGAGCAAGAGACTTGGCTGCTTTTTAGCCAGATCCCCCACCAACAATCACTTTATATGTAAATCACTATTCTATGACATTCCTAAGTCAACAGTTTTAATCCAGTGCATGGCTATTGAGTTGTGCTGGGTCATTGACTTTCACTATGGATCAACAACTTATTCACGTCCGTTCGTTCCATTTGAACTGAAGTTTGAAAGCATATATAGAAACAGAGGATCAAATAAGAAAATAGGTGTGATTTTGAAACAAATAAAATGATAAGAAGCCAGCTGAAGGGCTGGCAGACAGCAGTACATAACATTTTTACCTAATATCACGTACCAGAAAAAGAAGGTTCCAGCAGATGGAGCAATGTTTGGAACCACTATTCTATTTTCTGGTCGTTTAATCTGTGTTCCAGGGGACTTCTACCTGTTCGGTTGTACAGAATAACGGTGATCGTCCCGAACTGGTCACACCAAATAACCCCTATTCAATTCCAGTTCCACTTAAGTCTGGAACATTGTTGAGAATGCAAGTTAACTCTTCATGGATATCCTATATCCGGGACGTTTTCCAAAGGAGGTAAGTTATACGTGGTGTTGTACAAAATTTAGAGCAGATCAACCGTAAGTGCCACAGTTACAGTTACCCACCGCAACAAAACTGCTAAATATAGGAGAACAGACGGGCACTCAACATTGCGAATGTATCGAATCTGACCTGCGGTTTCATATAGCTAAGAGTTTCAATGCTATCAAATCCGGAATGGTGGATTAGTCAACCTGGTTTTCACCTGCATTTACACGTAGAATAATGTTCCAACTGAGACTGCATGGATATCAGTAAAATTTGTATGCTGGTCTGTTGACACATGGAAGGATGTGGGATTCTAGTAGCCTGAGCGGGTAAAACCTTTGTTAAAATATTCATCAAGCTCGATTATGAGTGAGATAATCCAAAATTTGGAAACCTGATAGAGGGATCTTTAAAATTTTATTCAGAGTAAAGAGTGTTCTGTACATTCTGTTTAAGGGCGGTTCTAGACAAGGTTTGTCCATATCCTATCTCAGTTCGCATTGTTGCTCGGAAGGCGAAGATATACGACTGCCACGCTCTGCTTTATGTTGTGTTGGTCTGACTTATCGCTTTCGCAACGACAGATTAGGTTAGCATGCATGACTTTTTGAGCTGGAACGATTGATTAAATGGACCTGACCTAGGATGTGGCATTCGTTAACTAGTTCAAAGAGGTCATTGGAAATTTTTAATCAGGAAATCAAAATTCACAGCACGTGTCGGACGAAACCCGATACGGACAAGGAACTAATGAATTGTTAGTGATCAAAACGCAATTTTTCAAAGGATTGTTTGCTAGTTGGCTTAGAGCGGAAGCATACAGTGGAGGAATCCTAAGGTTTTGACGTCACAGCTAGTACTCTCATTCTAGTGATCAGTACAACAAAGAGACTGGAAAATCTGGTTGCAAAAATAGTGAATTCCGCAATTGCAATTGCCATTTCAATGGTAATACTGTTTAGAATCACTCGTATTTGCCTACCAAATCACCCGATAGCTCTTTCTAACCCTGGTAAACTAGTTGCTTTTCTGATCATAACGCAGTTAAGCTGGATGAACGCTAGTCTACTCCAACACATAATTACTCAAATTTAACTGGGCAAACTGATTATAGAACTTTAACTGTGTGCCATAAAAACTTCGCTTGACAAAGTAGCGAAGTGTTTCGTTTAACAGCGGGCTCGTCAGTGAAGTGACCAACCGTGTTCAACCCCGTCCGCTCATTAGAAGCATTGTGAGATTTTTTTGTAACCAAGCAGTAAATCAAAGTTTTTGCTGCTTTAAACTGTTACTCCGTTCAGAGGAGCAGTTTCAGTTACCTGCTCGGCAATGAAGTCCAGATATGGTCCGATACGGTTCGAAAACCGCGGGAGTAAAAACAAAGGTTTCCATGGATTTGGTCTGAGTTGATGTGTTTGAACCGATGTGTTTGGATCAGCAACAACGAAAAATAACAGTGATTAATGTGTTGAACTGCGCAGTACCAAATTAGTTTACAAAATTTCTATGGAAACGAAGCATGTGAGCACTGTTTGGGAGTAGCTGACTCAAGTTAGTCTACCAGCTACGCAGTCATCTTTTAAGAACTGTAGAGTGAGTAAATTTGCATGTTCATGGTTGCTGTCCGCCCAAGCAATTCCAATCCAAAAGAAACAAAGTGAACAAAATGATTGAACGAATTAGCCTAATTGAAACATAATGGCAGGATTCGATAGGTGAATTTCGACTTTATGGATGTCAGACGAACTGGAAGATTCTGGTTGGCGAATTCGTGACAGACTTTGACGCACTCAAATTATCGAATATTACTTCGCCTATTGATAGCTAATATAGTTTGAAAAAATTGCAGCAGGTTTTCAAGCGGCGAAAAAAAATAACCAGAACATACCTTGTCAATGAATAAAATTAAATCAATGCAACCAGTGGCATCCATATAAAGCACATCCTATACTCAACAAAACGAAGGCTCCAAATTTTGGCATCGCTCCTTATCATTCGATGATCGCAGAAACATAAATCCATATCTAGAAGTAAAAACGCCGTCATATTTGCTTAGCGCATCAGTGTGGTTTTATTGTTATTATCTTTATGAGTTACTTACACATAGGTTACATATGTTTTTACGCTTAACAGAACATTCGGTGAGGTAATCCTCGTGGTAAATAAGTGCCGTGAAAATGTTATCAAACAGGTTGGCGACAGAGAACGTATATTGAAGGTCCTGGGACGTTTATCCAAAACAGTTCTGCAACTGATTTTCAGCCTCGTCGCAAACAGCTGCCATGACAGGAACAATTGTGTAACTTCACTTCGATGCAAACTCACTATGCTTGCACTTACTGGATTCACCGTTGGACTTTTAGTTTCTGAATATTCAGGTGGTCGAAAATCGATTTTTACGTTATGGCCAGGTAGCATCCAGGAAGTGGAACGTACTGATTTCGACAAGTCACATTCTGTCAGCCTGTTGTTCGATCCAGTTGGCTGGCTATACTCAAAGTTTTTGGCTTCGGGTATCAAAGTACTACATCCATATGGGCCCCCGCCATTTTGAGATAAAACTGAAAACTATTGAAGTTACTTTTCTCCAGAGCGTATTGTTTTCGCATTCTCGTTAACTTGTTCAAAAAGGCAATAAAACAATCTCGTTGATTGATGACGACTGGTTGACAGAGAATTAGTTACATCCTTCCAGTAAAATAGAACAAAAGGATGCATCTTATGAGAGTCTTGTCTTTTGTTTTTCGCGACGGACTTTAAATAAAGGACCATTTTTGAGTGAGCAACTAAATCCTAATTATCAAAAACTTACAGGAAAATTTTGTTCTGAAGATAAATTTGTTCGCTTTGAACTTTAACTATTTTTAGTTATTTGGTATAATCAGCGGTCGTAAACATTGGACTCAGATAATAAGTGACTGTGAAGTCGATAGGAAGACGTTTGTTGAAAACCCTCGCCCGCCTGTTTCTAACCAATTTAGTATAGCGTAATCGTTATAGTTTTCGCGCTTACATTGACCAGACAACTGGATTAAATATATCCCGTTTAGTTTCGAGACCCCGGGAAACCACGTGGGTTACTGGCATACAAAAGTTTTGTTTCTCAAGAGCCGCTGATTCACTGGACGCCCGCATACGTATAAAGCTAAATATGGTACTAGATGAAATTTCGTGCTAACGTTATAAAAGCGAAAAAAAACAGTTAGTTTGTAAACAAATATAAGACTGTTGTTAGTTAACAGTCGGCTAGAATATAATGACTTAAGAGTCAGCATCGTTCGAAAATACGGCAAGGTGCCCGCACGATCGGATCTCTGCACCAAAAAATAAGAATAAGCAATCTGTATTATCTGAACTCATCAGGAACACCAATGCTTTTGGAATAATTTCAACATCCTCCCTCATCTTATGCTATTCAACGAAGACCTCTTTTTCTGCAGGACCTTCGAGTAGTTTGAAGAGGAGAAACAGACTAGGTGTAATATCACTATTCATTGGTTGGGTGAAAACACGTTGGTTGTGGTTTCTGAGAGATAAGTTGGAGACCTTAAACCAGCAACACAACCGCTCAAGTATGTTGACGCGTTTAATTTTTATTTAAAGAACTGAGCTCCTTCAAACAAGTAATACACTCATCTCAGACGGGCACTGTTTGACTTAAGCGTATTACCTTCCCGGTGCTTGTGAGGCCACAATGCTATGTGTTGAAACTGCGCACCATACTGGTTACACAGTGCTCACATGTACCC